TTGGAAGTGTAAGCTGAAATAAAAACTTTTCCACTCCAAGCTGCGTTTGGTCATGGTATCATTGTAATCAAAATCCCAACACACACAAAGTTTATGTTGATGGTGTTCAGCCCATTCCTGGTCCTCTTCCTATGCCTGCTGATCCTCCTCCTCTTCTCAATGATCCCATCCTCTAAAAGCATACCTTCTTGTCTTTGACAAACTGCATATAAAAATACAGGGCATATAGTCTTGTTACTCACAATGAATTATTCCCACACTTTTTTTTTTAAAGGAAATTACTTCAAGAACTGACTCCCTACTCCTTAGCCCCCATGCAACATTTTTTTTTTGTTTCTTTGTTTTTTATATTGGACATCAGTTAGCCCAGGCTGGCTTAGAATTTGCTATGTAACTGTGAATGACTTTGAACTCCTGATCTTTCTGTTTCTTTCCAAGTGTTGGAATTACAAGTGTGTTTCCCTTGAAACTTTATGAAACAAAAGTGTATGTAGATCTTCAAAAGGTTCCATAGATATGAACACCCAGGGGGCATGTATGTTTTTGAGGATGTTTCCTCTGAAGAGTTGGGCTCCAAGAAGCCACCTGTGCATTTTCATTCACTGTTTTCCTCCAGATTCTTCTCTACTCACATAGTATTGTTCTAAATGTAACATTTCTATAGTTTTTATATTTGTATTTATGCTCTACTAGAAACTTTATAATATGACCTGTTTTCTTTCAGTCTTATTTTGGGTTAGTTTAAGAAAATTAGAAGTAGTAGAGAATTCCAGTTCTTTTGTATAGCCAAGAAAAAGTAGTGATAGAGAAGGTGTTTGTAGGCAGGTTGCCTGATTCTGCCACCTTTTTCCGTTTGTACTGAGAATATTACCACGCCAAATTACTTAGCTTATATTTATATCAGCCTCTTTGTGAAACTAATGTTGCTCAAGAGATCAAATATTAGTTCTTTGCAATTTTATGAACTAGTTATGAATAAATTCCTTTTAATTGGATATGATTTAGTATTTTAACAGTCTAAGTTTTGAGTATATTTGTATTAATTTAAAGGAACTTGGAGTCTCATCCATGTGTGCTCATTAAGGGCCCTGGATTATATCTCCAGAGTTTTGTTTTTGCTTTTTGACACAGAGTTATGTAATAGGCTGAGTGTCCTGAAAGTCACAGTCATTTTCCATCTGTGTCCTGTGTCCTGGGATTAGGCATGTGAAACATTCCCTGTGATGGCAGCTCCTCCTCTTCTTCATTGTTCAATAGTGATTTTACAAGCTGTCAAGATATAATAATAAAACTGTCAAGATCAAGCAGACTGCAGTATAGAAAACTATCATTTGTCTCTTAGTTTTAGTTTATTATTTAGGAGTATTATATTTTTTTAATTTTATGTGTAGAGTATCATTCTATAAAATTACAACATAAGCAACATAATTAAAAAATTTAATAGACACATTAAAAATAAAAAGAAATGAATTTAATCTTCCTAATATGTTATTTAACCCAAAATATCTGCATTACTTCAGCATATAATCAATATAAAATGATTAAAACTTCTTATTTTCTTAATTTTTGCATTGTCTTTGAAATCCATGTGTATTTTCTTCTTACTATACCTCTCAGTCCTGAGTAGCCACATTTCATGTGCTTGGTAGGCACATGTAACTAGTGGTATTGCACAGCATAGCTATTAGGGTACTTTTAAATTAAGGAGGTTTTTATGATACTTTGAAATAATTGGTAAAAAGAGGTATAAGAAATACAAATAAGTTCATATTATAGAAATATATGGGGGAAACTCTGGGATTTTTGAGCGCTCAGTGGATAAAATCTTAGAATTGAAGTTTTGACATCAGGCACAGATTCAAGCCATAACCTGCAAGGTAAAACCTTAGGGAATTCCTAGGAAACATGCCCAGTGTAATGGGCAGAAAAATATGAGCTAGAGGAGAGCTTCAGGGTTGTTGTAGTCTGAAAACCAATGGAAGGGACTTTCACAGAGACATGATGAGTAGAAAGTAGCCATTGCCTAGTAGAGTGAGAAATGAAAATAAGGCAAATTGGTTGGCCTTTTGCCAAACTTAATAGTAGCTATTTAGTAAACTGATAGCTAATAAAATTAAGTGGTAGCAATTTGAGCATTGAATATAAGTTAAAATAAAGACAATAAACATATATTATCATTTTACAAAGCTTGATAAGGATAATTGGTAGGTTTTAAAGAAGTATACTATTGATTAAAGGAAAGGAAACAGTGGAGAGGTAAAGCTTGAAGATAAAGGAAAAAAGTGATGGAGAAAGTTCTTGGAGAAGGCATCAATGCATAGAATTCTGCACATAGATAGAAGAATTAATTGTGGAAAAGAAGATGTCAACCATGATATAAAAGAGAAGGTGTTAATGAACAGGGAAATTTTTTGTCCATGTGTATTAGTTTCAGGAAGAAAGTTGTCTGCATGCAGACAACTATAACAAGGTGAGCATTCTGGAATATGTTATATTGTTGACTTTGTAGAATCTGGGAAAATATAAGCCAAGAGAATCATGGAATACTTTCTTAATATCAAACCTGCCACTTGCTACTTTGAATTTATATGATCCTTTGGAGAATTTCGATATGGTATTGTCACAAGAACAAAATGCCTTCCTGATAAGATTTGATCTTATAGTTGGCTACCACCTTAATTTGCTTATTTCTGCTTTGTAAATTAGATATAGATTTGGTTGAAGTTGAGTTTACTTAGAATTTGGAAAAATAGCTTTTAATTTCAAGCCACTAGAGTTTTAGGCTCTCCAGGGCTGCAGTTAAGGTGTCAGCTCTAGAGATAATTACCTCAAGGTTTGACTGGCCTGGGTGATCTTGGAACATAGTTCATTCACATGGGTCTTAATTGTTTATTTGGGTTGATTGAAAGGTCATGTGGACCATGCTAAGGGCTGCTTAAATGTATTATGTGATAGCTGAGATTAGTCAAAATTAATGATCCAATGGGGGGTGGGAGAGGTTGTTGCAGTGTCTTTTGTGGCAGACATGGTCACTTCTACTACACCATTGATTACTCAGACCAACCCTCATATTCACGAGGGTACTACACAAAGATACGAGTTCCCTTTGGGAGCAGGCTTCCATACTCCCTCTTTCTGTGCCCACTGGAAATGACCATGTTTGTTTGTAGGAACAAAACCATTTTTTTTTTTTTTTTATAAATTGAATTGAGATTGACAAGAATTTCGACAAAATGTATTTTTTAAATTAAAAGTACACATTTCATCTAGTTCTTTGAAAAAAACTAACAAATGCTATTAGTTACTTGTTATTGTCTGAGGGTTGAGTATGTGTCATAAAATCATGACTTATAATTGTATTTTGAATTGTGTGAACATTGAGATCATGATACTTCGTCTTCTGGAATACCTATCTTGCTTTTGAAAGTGCAGATTTCTGACCAACTTCCCCATAGTTACTTCTTGGTTTCAATTTTCTAAGACCATGAGTGACTGGGAATTTTGTTGAAGATCTTTAAGGTGTATGAGATAAAAATATAGGCTATTCTCTTATGTCCTGATGACATCATGTTAGTTTCTTTCATATTATGCATCGCAAATTGAAAGATCTTTCTGATGACAATTTTGTTTTCCTTTATTCTTTCATTGCTCTCCTAAGTTAATTTTTTATTTCAGGGCAGGCTTTGCCTTTTCCACTGTTGAGTTTTAAATGCCAGGTGTAATCTATAGTAAATGACCAGTAGGTGAATGTCAAAATGTATTTTATTTTTAGAGAATATACCATTTTTTTTTGAATTGAGATTGACAAGAATTTGGATAAAATGCATTTTTTTTTCAATTAAAAGTGCACATTACTTTCATCTGGTTCTTTAAAATACAGAAATGTTGTCAGTTATTTGTTATTGTCTGAAGGTTGAGTATGTATCATAAAATTTTGACATGCATGTATATCATTGAAACAAGCTTTTCTAGAAGGTATATGTTCCCCCCCCTATTTTATTTCTGTCTTTTAAGCCTTCCTTCCTCTTCCCTTTCTTCCATTCCTTCCCCCCTTCCTCCCTTCCTGCCTCATATCCCAGTTCAGAAAATTCTGTGAGGCTATAAATTCTTTACTGTTTTATTCAAAGTAGATGCTTCAAAGTTTCTCCAGCCTGATTTTTTTTTTTTAACACAGGTTATTCTGAACTTGATTACTATTTAAGATTATTCTTTTAAAAGATGTGTTTAGCTAATCTTATAATTTTGTGGTGTACAAACTGTTTACAAGTTATTGCTTTGATTGCCCTTCCATATGTGTCATATAATCTTTCTTGGGTGAGTTACTATGTTACTATGCCTCTGTCAGTATTGATATACCTAAGGATCTTGGCTAAAATATAGTCACAACAGAAACAGTTATGGTGCCTATTCTTGGGTGTATGATAACATTTTAATTCTTTTTACGACTGTGTATGGCTTATAGGGAACAAAGAGTCATCTTCTTGCAGTGATGACTTATGTCTCCCAGAGACTAGTGTTGTTAAGGTATCTACCCTCTATCAGCAAGTCTCTGTGCACTTCTGTGTTTTCACTTGTTACAAACCCCAAACTTGAACTGATTACCCATATACCTTCTCCTTTACCTCTTGGCTTTTCAGTTCTAAGCAGAAGTTCTTGACAGTCTTTATATTTTATTTTATTTTTTAATTATGAAACTACTCATCATTCTGACAAACCTGATTTTTTCTCTAGAGAGCTATCCATTTAACACAATTTATATGTTCAGGAGTGCATAAGCTTCAATCAAGCTTAGTTGAATTGGAAGATCCTTGGAGAGACTGAACAAGTAATTTCTTATTAATTAAAAATAACCAAAAACTCACTAAGCATTTGCCGTCTTAAGAGTATCCAGGAACTGGATTTATCTTGTGTTCGTGAGTTCTTGTCCATGCTAGCACTCAGAATTCACATTGGGTTTAATTTGAAGGCAACAGTCTAATTATGCTTTTGTGATCTTGCAGGTACCTTTGTATTAAGCCAGATTGGATATCAGAACATCTGCATCATCAGGTGAGCAAATGGGACTATGTCGGATCTGTCTTCCTAGAAGGGCATGGCATAGCCATTGCTGTCCTGAAATCAGAACAGCTGTGATATGCCACAGGAGACCCTACCAAGACTTTGTGTTGGACGGAGGAAAGGAGTGGAGGCAACACCACGAGTGGCGCACAGCAGGCACAGGTCCTCACAAACAGGTCATATGTGGAGGGGTGCATGAGTGTCTCATGAAGTAGGTCAGGACAGTGATTAGCAGTTGTTATTGCTGGTGGTGTGGTAGTGAACTTTTCTTGAGTTACCCATGTATCTGCCCATAGATTCTCCACATTGCTATTATGTAGTTACTGGTGTATCTGTTTGTAGATTCTTTGTATTGCTGCAAGTGACCTCAACCTGTCCTCTAATGAGTACCCCAGTCAGACTCACTGGTTCACCCAGCTGGAATTTGGTGGACTCATCACTTTGTTTTGATCTTGGTGCCCTCTTTGGGGTAAAAAGAGGTTTGTTTTCTCTATTTAAACAAATCTCATACAATCCAGTCTTTTTGCAGTATGTAGCATTCCCTGTCATGTACTCTTTACCCTCACATGGCTAGTAGGATGATCAATATTTCTAAAGAGAAGTAACCTCCATTTTGTTAGATTGTTCCTTCCCTCATCTCCCCTCCATCTCCCACTTCAGCCCCAACCCCCAACAGGGTTTCTCTTTGAAGCCCTGCCTATTCTGAAACTTCTATATAGACCAGGCTGGCCTCACAGACATCCATCTACCTCTGCCTCCTGAGTTTAAAGGACTGCTTCTTGAGGTCATGCTTCTTTATTTTTATTTTATCTCATTGTGATTTCATATGTTCACATATCTGAAATAGATGAAAAATTCTCACTCTTTTTATGTATATACTTTGGAGAGTTCTGGACAACTCTCATTTATTGATTGTCAGCCAAATTATATACATTTAACTTCTTCAATCTTTCTTTGAAATTGAGTTAGCTTGACTGCTTTTTCCAGGAAACTGCTCCCCTCAACCCCTCTTTCATCAATACCATGAATGAACAGACAAAAACAGCATATTCCCAGTTTTTTTTTCCTATACCTTTTATTCTTTTAGCCTTTTGTTTTTGACATATTCCTAGTTGAATTCAAGCCAGTCAGATACCATTATTTGGACCATGTTGGCAGTAAATGAATGCCTGGCCTGCAATTGTCAATGTCTCACACAGTAATAACACCAGCAGTATGTGCTAGAGGAAAGAAAGAAAAATGTAAAAGAAGGAGGAACAAATTAATACATTCTTTAATAACATGACAGACTTACCCATGCCACCCGAAGTAAACCATTATACCAAAACCCTTTAACGTAGCTGTCATACTACAGTTTCGTGTCTGGGTGCTAATGTGAGTTGTGAGAAGCATGCCTATTGTTTGAAGTTTGGCCATGTTCTCACTTGGTTTCTTCTCCATGTTTTTATTCTCTCTCCACCTTTCTATACAACTTATCAGGTCTTGCTGTCAGATCCTGTGGTCATGAACAAAACTGGGCAGGGGATCATTTTGTTGGAAATTACATAGGCTCAGGTGGTAAATGTTCCATGCCTCCATATGTGACATTTGAGGCAACTGCTTTTAGTTCTTTCTATTTCCGTGACAGCCAATGGTCTTTGTTTAACAGCTGATCCAATGGAGATATGCAGGCGGAAGCAGCTATAAGACCCTTGGTACTATTTATCAACACTGTGTTAGTTATACAACTTTCCCTGCCCTGACTGGCAGGGAGAAGCATACTGCTTCTAGATGATGCTGAGCTTAGTGTAAAGTATGCCAGCATGGGATCTGGGCTTGTCAAAGCTCATTCTTTCTTTTCAATTGCTGTGTAGAAAATGGACCTCCATTTCTACTTATCTTGTACATTAGAGAGAGAAAGGTCATACTCTAGGAGATAATGGCTTATTGGTGTTTTTAGTCACCAATTCAGATAGTAATATTTAGTTGAAGGTTGAAACAGTGCATACTTGGCCTTCTCATTTTTATTAGCTTTGCTGCTAGTACAGATTTGAATAGGATAGCAGAGAAGGTTTTCCTGTTTGTGTCTGTAACTGCTTTCTAGATGATTTGTGGTTTAATTCTTGAAGCATATTTTAAAAATAATTTTTTACCTTTCTCCTTGTTAAGGCATAAAATATTCAGATTCTAATATAACATTTTCCCCAGATTATTTATTTCTGGAGAGATCAAGGTTAGCGTAGCAACTGAAACCGTTCAGTGTAGTTACCTAAAAACGTTAATACCTGTTTTCTGTGTTTCACAGTCTACTTTCATATGATCAGATTTTATGTATGACTGTGATTACTAATAATGTGTTTCTTGGTCCGTATTTATTAAACATAGTTAAATATCTTAGAATCCTTGTAAAGCTAAAAATGTTAGTTTCTCATATGACTTCTAAACTGTACTCGTCTTTAAATTCATTAGGCAGCTGCTGATGCATTCTTCAGTGTACCTCTTGTTTCTTAGGTCTTTTCAGTGCCTATCAAAGAAAAACAAAATGTTAACTAGACTTTAAAGGACAAAACCAAATCCCTAAACAAAAAAATCAAAAGCCCAAGAACCAACCTGTGCCACATTACTTTGTTCTTTTTGTGGGTAAAATTGACACAGTGTACTGTGTCAACTGAGGAAGTCTAGCAAGAAATAGCAAGCAGCTTGGCACTGATAGAGGCTTGTAGCCTGAACATCTTGTGGTTTTTGTGAGGCAGAGGGCTTACCCTCACAAGCACACCAAAGTAAGGAACGCAATCTTGATTTCTTCTACTTACACTATGGTTTCTTTTCTTGTGGACTACCACTGTAACAAGGGTGCATGTGTGAAAGAGAAGTGCCCTTTGTGCAGTTTCCACATTAAGTAAATGGCATTGTTTCTTAGAGAAACTATATTGAATTTGCCTTTGTGAGGATTATGTTTACAGTTGAGTCTGTGCTACATTTGTGCAAGTTCTGCATGTGCTGCACAACTGATGGAGTTTATACCTGCAACTGCTTCGTTATATCTGGGGAACACTGCTTGCTTTGTGTTGTTCTCTCTGTCTCTCAAAATCCTTGTGTCTCCTCTTCTGATCCCTGTCCCTTGGGGATCAGAGTGTGATCTCTATGTCTCATTTAGGGCTGCATACTCCAGTGGCTTCTATTCTTTGTATGCTGATCAGTTGAAGTACTTGTTAATTGCCATTATTACAGTTACTGCAAGGAGTAGTATCTCTGCTGAGGGCTGGGACATGCTTTGATAGTTGTTTTCATGCGATGTTCATTTAGCAGAATAATATTTATTAAGTTCTCTCCTAGACCTGTCTAGCCACAGGTTCTTATTCCTTTTAACAGTGCCATGCTTGGGTTCTGTTTCATTGAGTGGGCAATAAGATGACTCGTTTTGACCAAAAGTCTGCAACTGCTTTCTATTTCTATCTAGAATTCAGAATCAGTTCATACGTTCTTGAGAGGTGTTATTTTTAAAATATTTGTTAAGTTCATATAGAAATGAATTTCCATGAAATTAAAGGATGTATATCTATTTCTTTTCCAATCACAATGTAAGACAAAACAGAACTGCTTTAAAACATTTTCCAATTTTCATGTAATTATGAGTGGCATACTATTAGAAGTGTGAAAATATGGTGTTATGAGTATTTAAATGGAGATGGTTTGAGCGGGGACTTTTGACTTTGAGGAAGAATTTTGTGAAATTTTGTAGAATTTCCTCAAAATATGATTTTTAATGACAAATCATGTTCTTTCAAGTTATATTTTAAATACTAGTGTTTTATAGTCGATATAAGTATAAAGAAAATATGTTTTTGGGGATGAGATTGATATTATGTTAACCAATTTTTATGTAAAATGTTATTTACTTTGGGAGGAAAAAATAATGTAACAGCGTAACATATGTGGCTGAAAAAAAGGTAAATGGTGATTTGTGCTAGAGTAATTAATAAGAAGCATTTTTTAAAATTCTGTGTGTATATGAAGCTACATCTACTATGGATTCATTAAGATGATTCTGATATCTAGCAGTGTTTTTTTGTTTGTTTGTTTTGTTTTTAACCTGAGATGTATTTTTCATTTAGGAAGTAAATTTAAAATTCATTGCAAGGGTTCAGGTAAACAGGTAGGTTAGAATTCTCCATTAAATAAACTCACCTGTTATTTTTCCTCATCCAAGACAGGTTCAGCAACACATTGCCTCATTACTTTTTCAAAACAAGCATTCAAATTCAAAACAAGCATTCAAAGCGTTTATGTTTAGTGTTTATGTACTACTTATTACAATTATCCTTCTCTCAGTGTTTTCTCTTAAGAATACCTTTTTTTTCTGTAGGCAGTACTGAAAAAAATCTGGGTGAGTGGCCTGTCAGGTTTCATGGACTGCATAGTTAGGTTAACTTTAAGTTTCTGATTATGGCAATACCAGAAGGGACACCACTGAATTTTATTTACTTTGTTCTTGTTTAAGTTCAGTATAGTTTTGTCTTCAGTCCCTAGTGCCAAGGTTTGATGATATTAAAATTGGCATATTCAATAGTTGTATATATTAAGTACTATCTATTAACTTTAAAGAGTTTTCTTTAAATCCCAGTTTTTTCCTGTGGTAAGACTTATTATTAATTTAGGAAATACATACATAGATGCATAGGAGAAATATTACATGTTTAGAAATTTAAAACAACTTTTGTTAAGTGTTATTGAAGTTTTCATTTTAGACAATAAATTCTATATTTTGTTTAATTCAAAGAATTTAGTAGGAACTATTTTAGTTTGCTATGATGTGGTTTTCAAAAATTGTGTTATAACTTATTATTTGTGGAAACATGGACATTTTGTTAGATAACACAAAATGAGATAAATATTGCTTTTTGATTCTGATTTTTATTATTCTATGTACCAAATGCTTAAGTATTAGTGATTTATTTAATTTGACAATCAATATAGCTTCAAATACAATTCCTTGAGTAGATGGTTGAATG